CCACTCCCTTTTTTTCTTGCAATGTTAGTGATTGAACCCAGGGTGTCCTGCTTGCTAGGCAAGTTCTCTGCCAGTACATCAGGCCCCATTCTTTGTTTTTGTTTTTTCCTTTTTTTTTTGGGTCCGGTCGTGGGCCTGAACTCTGGGCCTGGGCACTGTCCCTCAGCTCTTCAGCTCAAGGCTAGTGCTCTACCACTTGAGTCACAGCGCCACTTCTGGCTTTTGTTTTTCTGCTTATGTTTTGCTGAGGAATCGAACCCAGGGCCTCATGCATACAAGGCAAGCACTTTACCACTGAGCCACCTTCCCAGCCCTAAGCCCCATTCTTACTCTACCTTCTGAGCATCAGCACAGTCAGACATGGCCATTTTAAATTATTCAGTCTCAAATAAAACAGATCTTGTAGAACTGAAATATAATTTAATCGTTTCCTTCTTTGCAAGTTGCCCTTTTTTACCCTCCCCAAATTAGCTTTTCTGATAGATTTGCTAATGATTCCTATTGTTCAGTATTTTCACCGAACTGTTGAATCATACTCTTCATTTCCCTGCTGCTAGAATAGATCTTAGAGAGAGGCTAAGAAGCTGTTTTGGTAAAAGGTTCCTAATTCTTCTTTCCTAGCAACAGAATAGAGGAGTTTGAGGCAAGCAGGGATAGATAGATTCATGCAAATGCTCAGACTTGGTAGACCTAGCATGTGATCATCACAATATTATAACTTATTCCTAGACATATTATATATTTAAATCTCTCTCACCCCTTCCCTCTTCCCCAATCTCTGTTAGCTTCTGTCTTTCTGTCTCTCTCTTTGTCTAGATGGGATCTTATTATGTAGTTCAGGATACTCTTAAATTGATGTCCTCCTGACTCAGTCTTCTGAATGCTAGGATTGTAGCTGTAAGCCAATATGCCCAGTCTCCTAGACACATTTCTTTTTTTTCTTTTTCTTCCTCTTAGACACATTTTTGATGCTTACAGCCAACAACTTAAAAAACGTGACTTGGAGAATGAGAATTAACAGTTTGGTTTGTGCCATTGTTATTTCCTCATAGTTAGAGAGGACTGCTGAATTTAAGTTTTCATTTCTACTTTCTGTTAATTTTTGGGGGAGACAAGGCTCAACATGTCCCCAACCTGTCTCAGCCTCTTAAGTAGCTAGGATCATAGGCATATAGAACCCATACTGCTTTGTTTATATATCATAGAGTAATCTATTCTTTTGCACTGAGCATCCGAGCGAAGGTTTCAGAGATTGTATGATACATGTGAACTTTCATGTCTTTATACATATAACAGTTGCTATTGCTTCTGTCTTTAAGAGCATTAAGCAATGCCTTGGGGTCTTTTATTTTTCAAATACCCTCCTTCCTTCCCTTCTTCCCTCCCTCCTCCTTTCTTTCACTGGTTTTGAACTCAGGGATTCACTCTTGTGTACCACTGGAGTCATGCCCCTAGCCCTTTTTATTTGATTTATTTATTTATTTATTGTCGGTTGTAGGGCCTGAACTCCAGGCTGTCCCTCAGCTCTTCAGCTCAAGGCTAGCCTACTACCATTTGAGCCACAGCACCACTTCCAGCTTTTTCTGCTTATGTAGTGCTGAGGAATCAAACCCAGGGCCTCATGCATGTACCACTGAGCCACCTTCCCAGCCCCTCAGATGATTTTTTGCACTTGCCTGGGCAAGACCCAAACCTCAATCCTCCTACCTGTACCTTCTGCAAAGCTGGGATTTCAGTCATATACCACCACACCCAACCCTCTTAATAGACCATTTTGTTTGTTTGTTTGTTTTGTGTATTAGTACTCAGCTCTGGGTTACTTTTTTTTTTTTTTTTGGTCAGGCGTGGGGCTTGAACTCTGGGCCTGGCTGCTGTCCCTGAGCTTTTCAGCTCAAGGCCAGTACCCTACCTCTTGAGCCACAGTGCCACTTCTGGTTTTCTGGTGGTTAATTGGAAATAAGTCTTGCCAACTTTCCTGCCCAGGCTAGCCTGCTTTGAACTGTGATCCTCAGATCTCAGCCTCAGAATAGCTAGGATTATAGGTGTGAGCCAACAGCACCCATTCAGAGGAGTAGCCAGGGAGAGCCCTGGAGAGAGTTCTCTTTTTTTTGTGAAGGGCAGGGTGGAGTTCAGGTTTGGGTGGAGGGCATTCTGCTAATGTACCTGGGGGCTAGAGATAGTGCTGAGGGCCTAGATTGTCAAGCCCAAATAGAAGACATACTAGCAGTTTCAGTCTTAAAAATTTAGCCGGGCGCTGGTGGCTCACGCCTGTAATCCTAGCTACTCAGGAGGCTGAGATCTGAGGATCACCGTTCAAAGCCAGCCCGGGCAGGAGAGACCATGAGATTCCTATCTCCAATAAACCACCAGAAAGCCGGAAGTGGCACTGTAGCTCAAGTGGTAGAGTGCTTGCCTTGAGCTGAAGAGCTGAGGGACAGCGCCCAGGCCCAGAG